GTGGGAGGGGGGAGGGCTATAGAGTGTGAAGGAGAAGACACTCTTTATTTTACTTATCTGAGTCTCTCTCTCTCTCTCTCTCTCTCTCTCTCTCTCTTCTCTCTCCTCTCTCTCCTCTCTCTCTCTCTCTCTCTCTTCTTCTCTCTCTCTTCTCTCTCTCTCTCTTCTCTCTCCTCTCTCTCTTCTCTCAATTCTTGCTGTTTATTGCCATTCATCTCAAATTCCTTTAATAGAATTACGGTAAAAAAAATGATTGTTAATAGTCTATTACGGAAAGCGAAGGAGTGAAGATAGGAAGAGAAGAGGATAGTAAAATTGGAAGAAAGAGGAGGAGGGAGATAGGAGAAAAGAGGAGAAGAGAAAAGAGGGAAGAGGAGAGGAGAAGAAGAAAAGAGAAAAAAAAGCGAAGGAAGGGAAGTGAAGGGAAAGGAAAAGAGGAACAAAACCGAAGAAGGAAGGATGGAAGAGAAGATTATGATCGGAATAAGGAGAAGGAGAAGGATGGAGAAGGCGAGGGAGGAATAGTAAGAGTGATGAAGGAGGTAAGAGGGAGGCTTGGAAAGTGTTCAACCCCGAGATCCGCCGGACTACCTGCCGAGAAGCCGAGAAGCCGGCTGGTGCGGGCGGGCGGGCGCGGGAGGAGGCCTCGCGTGTCAAAGTGTCTAAGGTTTTCAAGGACTTGGTTGATTATCTGCGACCACGCGCTTGTCTTAAGGCTGTGGGAGACGCTGTCCCGCCCTGTGGGGTCTCTGGCCCCTGTGCCTGACCCCCCTCTCGCCCCCACCCCTCTCCCTCACCCCCTCTCGCCCCCACCCCCTCTCGCCCCCACCCCCTCTCGCCCCCACGCCCTCTCGCCCTCCCTCTCCCACCCCTCTCGCCTCCCCTATGTGAGTCTTTGTCCCCCTCCTCCCCCCTTCTCTACCCCACCCCTTTCCCCTCCTCCTTTCTTCCTTGGATCCGCCCTTGTGTATGGGGGCGAAGGGGGGGGGGGGGCGAATATGTTTTACCTTTGGCTGTCACACATACATACACACAGATACACGGACACAAACACCCATATGCACACGTAAATACACACACATAGTGATGAATAATAGATATACAAGAAAAATAATGATAATGGTAATAATACTGATACTAATAATGATAACTGTAACACTAAAAAATAGTAGTAGTAATGATAATAATAAATAATAATGATAATAATAATAATAATAATGATAATAATAAGGGTTCATATTATTGCAGCAATAATATGATGATAATGATTATAATGATGATGATAATTGCTATTTAGTTTAAGATGATATATACAACGAATGATGATTCCAAAACAAAGCATGAATATGAATAAAACGAAATAAGAAAATCCAAAAACGAATAAAAAGAATATGATAAAGTAGAACAATTATTGAACCGTATACACTGACAGACAGAGAAGGGAAAAAAAATTGATAATGATTTTCAAAAGCCGTCAATTAAAGTAAAGTTGATATTGACGATTATGGAGCATAATTGAATCAAATATATAATAAAACTGGTTGTGAGAGGTTGAAAGTGGGGGAGGGGGGGGTAGAGGGAGAGGGGTGTAGGAGGGGATAAGGGAGGTTGGGGTAAATATGAGAGGAGGGGTGACAGGAGGAAGGGGGGGGGTGACAGGAGAAGGGGGGGGGGTAAAAGGAGAAAGGGGGATGGAAGTATGAAAAAAGGGAGATAGAAAGAGAAGGAGAATAAAAGGATGGAATCAGGGGGAAGGGAAATGGGGATAGAAGGATATGGTAGGTGGGGAGGAGGGAAATAATGGGAAAGGAGAGGATGAAGAAAGAAAGAGATAAAGAGAAAGAGGAGAAGGGGGGGATATGAAGAAGTGGGAATGAGAATGAAAGAGAGAGAGAGAGAGAGAGAGAGAGAGAATAGAGAGAGAGAGAGAGAAGAGAGAGAGAGAGAGAGAGAGAGAGAGAGAGAGAGAGAGAAAGAAGAGAGAAGAGAGAGAGAGAGAGAGAGAGAGAGAGAGAGGAGAGAGAGAGAGAGAGAGAGAGAGAGAGAGAGAGAGAGAGAGAGGAGAGAGAGAAGAAAAAGAGAGAGAGAGAGAGGGGGGGGAGAGAGAGATAATGAGTGATAGAGAGAGAGAAGAGAGAGAAGAGAGAGAAAAAAAGGAGAAAGAGAGAGAGTGAGAGAGAGTGAGAGAGTGAGAGAGAGAGAGAGAGAAGAGAGAGAGAGAGAGAGAGAGAGAGAGAGAGAGAGAGAATGGGACGACGAGAGAGGAAGGAGAGGGAAGGTGGAGGGATAGAGAGAGAGGGGGGGAGGGGGGAATGTAATTATGATATTTGCGCAAAATGTTTGTTAAAAACAACACACTGCCTTTGGGGAATAAAATTTGATTTTACTCTTTTTTCGGCGGGGGATATTTACTATCAAAATGAATTATCTATTAAATGTAAATCTAGCCATTGGGATTCAAATTGATAGGAAATTTTAATAGCTTTTAACATCACTCGCT